CCTCCCCGTCCCAGCCCTCCACAGCTGATGGCCGATCGGTCCCACCTGGAACACACACACACACACACACCCCTCTAACCCTCAGCTTTTTCTCTTTTTTTCTTCCAGTGCCCGGGCCTAGGGCTTGAACTCAGAACCTCTGGGACACCCCCCCCCCCAGCTCTGGCCCTCAAGGCTGGCTCTCTCCAGCCTCCAGATCTTCGTATTTCGCTGGCTAATGGGAGATGAACTCCGGGCCTGGGCTAGCCTCAGACCATCACGTTCCAGTCAGCCTCCTGAGTAGCTTGGGATCTCCAGCCCGGAACCAGGGATGCCAAGCCCAAAGAAAACGCTTGGTTCTCCAGACAAGAAAAACCCACTAGCCGGGTGGCTCCCGCCTGTCACCCCAGCCACTCAGGAGGCTGAGATCTGAGAATCGCGGTTCAAGGCCAGCCCAGGCAGGAAAGTCCATGAGACTCTGATCTCCAATAAACCACCAGAAAACCAGACGTGGCGCTGTGGCTCACGTGTTAGAGCACCAGCTTGAGCTGAAGAGCTAAGGGACAGCGCCCAGGCCCTGAGTTCAAGCCCCACAACCGACAAAAACAAAATAAAAATCCTATTTGCATTTTCCTTGTGACATGGGCTCCATTCGCTATGACTTCCCACCTAGAAATTGTACCCCACCCCAACTCTTCTACCCTCCCTTGGCCTTGGCTCTGTGTGTCTCTTAGTCTCCCCAAAGTCCTAAAGATTGCCTGACAAAGCCAGGCACCGGTGGCTCCCGCCTGGCATCCCAGCTCCTCAGGAGGCTGAGGTCTGAGGATCCCAGTTGAAGGCCAGGCCAGACTGGAAAGTCCGTGAGACTTAGAGCCCAGGGCCCTGAGTTCAAGCCCCAGAAATGGCACCTGCACACACCCCTCCTGGCAGGAAGGGGTCTCACCTCCGTCTTGGTCTTTTTGGGTGCACTGGTGTCCTCACTCTCGCTCCCCGAGATGTCCCCGCTGCGGCCCTGCTTGCTGGCTTTGGGGATGGAGGACTCCTCCACGCGGGCCTTCTGCTAGAGACATTTCCCAGGTCAGCCCCGAGGCCTCCACAGCGCCCTCTCCCGGACAGGAGGTGCAGCCGCCTAATGACCCGCGCGGTCAGTTACCTTGACTGGCTGTCTGGCTTTCTCAGCCTTGCCCTCGCTGCTGGACGTGCTGACCCCTCCGGGGGAGGCCCGGCCCCTCGATCTCAGCTCTTCCCGGGGCCCGGGGGCCTCTTTCTTCCGTCCGCTCCTCATCGCCATCTGAGGAAGGAGAAAAGGAGGCAGGTGCTAACAGTTTGGTGGGGTCGGTGGTGGGGCTTGAACTCAGGGCCTGGGCGCCGTCCCTGAGCCTCTCTGTGCTCAAGGCGAGCACTCTGCCACGTGAGCCACAGCGCCACTTCTGCTTTGCTGGTGGTTCACTGGAATTGGACACAAGAGCCTCAAGGAACCAGCCTCCAACGATGATCCTCAGATCTCAGCCTCCTGAGCCAGCTGGGATTACAGGCGTGAGCCACGGTGCCCGGCTTGATATCCCCTTTTGTAGCTGCTACTCACAGAGTCTTTATTCTGTCGCGTTTTCATTCTTCAGAGTATGGAGACCCCATTCTCCTCTGCCTGGGCAGCTGAATACAGAAACGACTTCGCCTTGAAGCTCCCCACGGCAGTGTTGTGGGAATCCGGCGTAGCAGGTCAGGAACGGGTAGGGGGGGGGTCTCTCAGTGACAGCTGTGAGGAAGAAATCACTGTGAGATTCCCCGTGGCAGAAGAGTCTGAGAGGCTCTGAGCCTGTCCCTCAACTCCAAGCCTTTAGGCCAAGAACCACAGGAGAGACAAGACTCAGGAGGCTGAGATCGGAGGATCGTAGTTCAAAGCCAACCCGAGCAGGAAAGTCTGTGAGACTCTGATCTCCCATGAACCACCAGAAAACCGGAAGTGGCGCTGTGGCTCACGTGGTAGAGCGCCAGCCTTGAGCCGAAGAGCTCAGGGACAGTGCTCACACAGTTCAAGGCTGCTACCAACCAAAAACATAAACATACATAACGCAATTAAGGTCCCCACAATCCATACAATGCTGTTGGTCTAATAGGTTTGTAAGAGGGGAAAAGAAGTACTGGATTATATTCTAGGAGAAAGTGTGTTTAGCTATAGCGATACCCCAAGAAAACGCACACATTTTTATCATTAACAGCGATGGGCTGGTGGCTCCCGCCTGTCATCCGACCTACTCAGGAGGCTGAGAGCTGAGGATCATGCTTCAAAGCCTAGACAGGAAAGTTCGTGAGACTCAAAGTGATAGAGCGCTAGCTAGCTTTGAGCAAAAGAGATGAGGGACAATGCCCAGGCTCCCAGTTCAAGTCCCACCACCCCTCCCCACAAAAAATTAACTAGAATAGGCTTATGAAAAGAAAAGAATGTGGGTGGGCACTGTGGTTCCCGCCTGTAATCCTTGCTACTACTCAGGAGGCTGAGATCTGAGGATCATGGTTCAAAGCCAGCCCAGGCAGGAAAGTCTGTGAGACTAGTATCTCCAATTAACCACCAAAAAGCAGGAAATAGAGCTGTAAATTGGGTGGTAGAGCACCAGCCTTGAGCAGAAAAGCAAAGGGACAGTGCCCAGGCCCTGAGTTCAAGCGCCAGGACCAACGCACATCTAAAACATCACATCTTAAGTTTGTTGTAGGATTCCATGCAGGTATGTGTTCTGTCTCTCTGTCTGTCTGTGTGTGCGTGCGCCAGTCTTGAACTCAGAGCCTGGGTGCTGTCCCTGAGTCTTTCTGCTCAAAGCTAGTGCTCTACCATTTTGAACCATAGCACCACTGCCAGCATTTGGTGGTTCACTGGACATAAGAATCTCATGGCCTTTCCTGCCCTGGCTGGCTTCAAACCCCGATCCTCACATCTCAGCCTCCTGAGTAGCTGGGATTACAGGTCTTAGCGCTGGCGCCTGGCTCTCTAATCAAATTCTCCTTCCTTACCTACCTAGTGGGTTTACATGTACAGATTTAATCAACCCCAGATTAGGAATCTTATTTTTTTTTTTGGTGAGGGAGGCATTCTAGAAAGTTCCAAAACCAAGCAAACTTGAATTTTCTCAGGCTGACCTCCAACTGAGTCTTCAACAACCTCTCCTACGGTCTCAATATTGTCCAGCTCAAGTGCCCAGCAGTTAGGTCTGGCAGGCTGGGTTCCCTCGTCTGGACATGCAGAAACTCTTCTGCCACAGCTCCACTTCCGGCTTCTGGGGTAGTTATTGCAGCTAAGAGTCTCCCCAAGTTTTCTGCCTAGGCTGTCTTTGAACCACGATCCTATCTTCCCTCCTGAGTAGCCGGGATTACAGGCGTGAGCCACGAGGCAGTGCCCAGCCTGAACGTGTAGAGATCTCTTTCTCTGGGCCAAGATCGCCCCCAAAGGAGTCCAGTGGAGGGTTTTACAGAGCACCTGCTCACTTCTGGGATCGGGCAGACGGACAGAGGACTGAAGGAGGGGAGAGTATGTGAGCCTGTGTGCAGATAGGACGTCTACGCCCGTCTTTGAGCACTGTGAGGCCGCAGATCCGCTCGCTCACATTTACAAAGCCCTCACGCAACCAAAACGACTCAAAACACCACTGTGCACAAGCCGAAGCCCATCTTCTGCTGTTTTGTTTTTTTGGGGGGTATGGTTTTTTGTGCCAGTCCTGGGACTTGAACTCAGGGCCTTGATGCTGTCCCTGGGCTTTTTTTTTTTTTTTTTTTGCTCAAGGCTAGTGCTCTACCACTTGAGTTAGACCTCTGCTTTCAGCTTTTTAGTGGTTCATTGAAGTTAAGAGTCTCTAGGATTTTCTGTCCTGGGCTGGCTTTGAACTGTGATCCTCAGATCTCAGCCTCCTGAGTAGCTGGGATGACAGATGAGAGCCAGCAGATACTTGATTGACAATCTAACTGCCAGGATCTTATCAATAAGGCCAGGTGTCTCCTACAGCCAGGGATTTCCAGTAACACTTGTTTATGTCTTGGTAAGGGTCACACGTATCAACGTAAGCAGAAGACCTTCCAAGAGCCAGTTAAGAGACCAGTAGTGCACGCCTGTAATCCCAGCTACTCCGAAGGCTGAGATCTGAGGATCGTGATTCAAAGCCAGCTGGGGGAAATTAAAGCCCCATGAAGAGTCAAGTGGCAGAGTCATAGCCTTGCGCAGAAAATGCTAAGGGACAGCGCCCGGGCTCTGAGTTCAAGTCCCAGTACCAGGTAAATAGAAACAAAAAGAACCAACTGGGCAAGGTGAGCAGAAGGGACGGAACCAAGTCCTCCGAGTTCTTGGGGAAGGGCATGCTGGGTAAATGCCAGGAGCCCTGGCTGAGCCACAGCGTCCCAGAGGGAAGGGGGCTCAGAACAAGCCTTAGCCTAACCCCCCAGCATGCCGCCACCTCCGACCCCTTCTTCCACCCCGGCAGAGGCGAGTGACTTCAAGGTCATGGCTCACTCCAGGTGCTCAATCCAGCTGCTCTGCCCACTCCCGGCCCACCCTCACCTGAGGCCTGCAGGTCAGGACTCCAGGCCTGGGAGGAAGGCCAAAGGTGAGGGGGAGGGGGAGGGGAGGGCCTGCCCCGGGGCCTGTCTGCAAGGGAAACTGAAAACCAAATAATCTGGAAAAGATGGGGGGGGGGGAGTTCCAGGAGCCAGACAATGCCAGGCCGACAGCACAGCCGGGTGCAGGAGCGCCCGCCTGTCATCCCGGCCACCCGCAGGAGGCTGAGATTGCAGGACAGGGCCAGGGGGGCCCGGGTTCGAGGCCCCGGGTCGCACGCGTGCACGCTTCCGTGTGCAGAGCTCGGTCAGGGGGGCGAGG